ACAAGATTGCCTTGTTTCTGGATCTCACAGGTTTTCTCTCTTTGATATGGTGCAGTCTTCCTACTTTTCTATTGCTTATTTTAATGGAAGATACTTGAGTTTTCCTTCTTTGACAGATTTTTGCCTTACACAGATTGCAGCTTTTGCAGGTTATTCTATAATATCTTAACGGTAGGAAGTATTTTATTTAGATAGCAGTCGAACTGCAGAGGGTAAGTAATTCATGCTTATATATCAGTTATCATTGCTAAATTTTATCTCTGTTATATTTCCTTGAATATTATATAATATCCCAACGTTCATGTTATTGATAACTTTTGCAATATTCAGTGATACTTCTCTTACAATGGAACTGCTTGTCATGCTGGTCACAGCAACACTTTGGAAGATGTTTTATCTAAAACCAAAAAAAAGCAAACTCACTGCCGTCAAGTTGGATCCGGCTCATAACAACCCCTCCTTGGGTTTCTGGGATGGTATTTCTACGGAAGTAGATTGCCCAGTTTTCCTTCTGGAGAGTGGCTGGTGGGTTTGAACCTCCTGCCTTCTGGTTAGCAGTCAAATGCCTTAGGCACTATGCCACCAAAGCTCCTATAAGTAATTAGAGGGGAAATAAATGAAACATAATAGTCAAACAATAGAGGGAATCAATGAAACTGAAAGTTGGTTCTTTGGAAAGCTCAATAAAATTGACAAATCTTTTTTTTTTTTTTTTTTAATTAGTTTTCCATTCACTAATCCACACATATCTGTTTTGTGACACTTCAATCCCACAATGCACCTTTCCCACTTCCATCCCCACGTCTACCACTTCCCTTTGTCTGCTCCTGCCTTTCAAGCTCTATCCCTGGGCAAATGCTGCCCTCTTGATCTTGCATGGTTGATTGTTCTAGTGAGTGCATACCCTCCTGGTATCACTGTTCACCTTATAGGCCTGTCTGTTGTTTAGGCTGGAAGTTGAGCCTCAGGGATTGAGTTTAGTAACTGGCTTAAAGAGTCTTTAAAGGATTGTGATCTCAGTGGTTCCACCAGTCTTCATCAGACCAGTAAGCCTGGTCTTTTATATAATTTTGAATTCTGTTGCAAAAATGGACATTTATAGCTAGGCTGACAAAGGAAAAAAAGAAAAGATACAAAATAACAATTTATTTTAGAAATGATGGTGGGGATATTCTGATGCTACAGAAATAAATATTGTAAGAAAATATTATGAACAGTTGTACATCAACAAATTAGATCATTATGTGAAATGCACAAGTTCCTCGAAACATATAAACTACCTAATTGACAAAATAGACAAGACAAAAATAGAAAGTCTCCAAAGATTTTTAACAAATGAGAAAGTTGAATCAGTAATCAAAAACCTCCCAACAAAGAAAAGTCCAGAACCAGATTTGCTTCACTAGTGAATTCCACCAAACATTTAAGAAGAATTAACACCAGTCCTTCTCAAACAGGAAACACTTCCTAACTCATTCTGTGAGGCCAACATTACCCTTATATCAAAGGCAGGTAAAAGCACCATGGAAAAAAACTATGGACCGGTATAATTTATGAATATAGATGTAAAAGTCCTCAACAACATACTAGCAAAATGAGTCCAACAGCATATGAAAAGCATTGTACACCATGACCAAATAGGATTGTTCTCAGGAATGCAGGTGGTTCAACATAAAATCAATTCATGTAATACACTAAATGAATAGAATGAAAGAAAAGAACCACGTGATCTACACATGATCTGATACAGAAAATAGTTTGACAAAATCAAACACCTTTTCATGATAAAAAATTTTGAATGAACTAAAAATAGAAAGGAAATTCATCATTATGATAAAAGGCTGTTTTTAAAATCCCACAGCTAATATCATACTCAATGGTGAGAGACCAGTAACAAGACAAGGATGGCCACTTTCACCACTGCTATTCAACTTTGTACTGGAACCTCTAGTCAGAGCAGTTAGGCAAAGAAAAGGAATAAAAGGGATCCAAATTGGAAAGGAAGAAGTAAAAGTATCCCTGTTTTGGAGGTAATGTGGAGAATCCATAAGGAACTAGTAGAATTAATTAATAAGTCCAGCTATGTTGCAAGGTACAAGGTCAACACACAAAAATCAGTTGTGTTTCTGAGTATCAGCTGTAAACAAATGGAACTTATTAAAACAATTCCATTTACAATAGAATAAAGAATAAAATACCTAGGAATAAATTTAACTAGGGAGGAAAAAAACTTATTCTTTGAAAACTATAAAACATTACTGAAAGAAATAAAACCTAAATAATGGAAAGACATCCCATGTTATGGACTGGAAAACTTAATATTTTTAAGACATCGTTGCTACCTAAAGCAGTCTACAGATTCAGTGCAATCCCTATCAAAATTCTAACATCCTCTTTTACAGAAATGGAAAAGCCATTTCTCAAGTTTACTGCAAGGGTCTTTGAGTAGTCATAATCTTGAAAAAAGTCAGCAAAGTAGGAGGACTTGTACTTCCCAATTTCAAAGTGTACTATAAAGCTAAAAAGAGTATGGTACTGCTATAAGGGTAGACATATGTTGTTACATGCTGTCAAGTCGGACCTGACTCATAGCGACCCCTCCTTGGGTTGCTGAGGCAGTATCATTATGGAAGTAAATTACCCCATCTTCCTTCTGAGGAGTGGCTGGTGGGTTTGAACCGCCAGCTTTCTGGTTAGCAGTCAAGTGCCTTAGGCACTATGCTACCAGAGCTTCCAAAATGGAATAGAATTGAATGCCCAGAAATCAACCCATGGATTTATGACTAATTGGTTTTGATAGCGGTGCCAAGTCCATTTAATAGGGAAGGCATAGTTTTTTCAACAAATGGTGCTGGGACAACTAGATCTCCATATGCAAAAGAATGATACTGGATCCATACCTTATACCATATATAAAAATTAACTCCAAATAGATGAATGGCCTAAATATAAGAGCTAAAAATACAAAACTCTTAGAAGTAACTTAGGGGTAAAGTTTTAGACCTAGTTTTTGACATTGGATTCTTAATTATGACACCAAAAACATGAGCAACAAAACAAAAATATAGATAAATTGGACTCCATCAAAATTTAAAACTTTTGTGCATTGGAGAACTTTTTCAAGAAAGTGAAGACACAACATGCAGAAAATGTTTGGTACCATGTATCTGATAAGGTTTTAATATCCAGAATATTTAAAGAACCCCTACAAGTTAATTAGCAAAACGGCCAACAACCAATTAAAAATGGGCAAAACACTTGAATAGCCATTCAAAGCCAAAGATGTACAAATGGTCAATAAGCACATGAAAAGATACTCAATGGCATTAGTCTCTAGGGAAATGCCAATCAAAGCCATTATAAAGTACCACTTCACACTGACTAGTATGGTTATTTTCCATACAGTAGAAGGTAACAGGTGTTGATGAGGATGTGGAAAAATTGGGACCCTCATCCATTGCTGGTAGTGTTGTAAAACAGCACTGCTGCTGTGGAAAATGGTTTGCCAGTTCCTCATGAAGTTAAACATAATTACTGTGTGACCCAGTGGTTTCACTCTAGGTATATACCCAGAGGACTTGAAAGCGGGGATTCAAACAGATACTTGTACACCATTGTTCATTACAGCACTATTCTCAATAACTAAAAGGTGGAAACAACCTAAGTGTCCATCAACACATGAATGGATTAACAAAATGTGTTATGTAGATAAAATGGAATGTTACTTAGAAAATGTTTCAATACCTGGCTACTACATGGAAGAACCTTGAAAACATTATACTAAGTGAAACAAATCAGACACAAAAGAACAACTATTGTATGGTCCTTTTTAAATGAAATATCTAGAATACAAGGAGTTAGTGAGGTGTCTAGAATACAAGTTAGCCCTTGGCTGTTAATTGAAACATCATTAGGTTTGAACCCACCGCTGTAGGCAGTGTGCTTCCCTAAAGATTACAGCCTTAGAAACTATGGGACAGTTCTATTCTGTCTATAGAGTTGCGATTCACTCAGTAGCAGTGGGTTTGTTTTGTCTTTGGTATCTAGAATATGCATTTGCAGAGAGTTGAAATTTGTTATTGGTTTCTAGGGGCTAGTGGGAGGAGCTCTGGTGGCATGGTGCCTAAGACATTTGACTGCTAACCAGAAGGCTGGCGGTTCAAACTCATCAACCACTCCTTGGAAGAAAGATTGGGCAATCTACTTCCATAGAGATACTGTCTGGGAAACCCAAGGAGGGGTTGCTATATGTGAGTTGAATTGACTCGAAGGCAGTGACTGTGGCAGGGGCTAGTGGGAGGAGGGGGTTGTTGCTTAAGGGGTATTGAGTTTCTGTTTGTGGTGATGGAAAACTTCCTGAAATAGATAGTGGTGATGGTTGCACAACATGATGAATGTAAGTAATGTCACTGACACAAATACTTAAAAGTGGTTAAAATGACTAATTATGTTTATGTATTTATCACAAGACATTTTTTAAAATTCCAACCAAACATAGCTAACTTTAAGAAGTTTGCGTTTTAGTAAGATCCTATCATATTTCTTTCTGAATTTCTTGCTTTTTCATACTTACTGTGGTTTTTTTTTAAATTGTAGACTATTAGAAATAGATTTAATTGCTTATGTAATCAGAGTTTGCATGTTAAGATCTTCTCTTAATTGAAAGTATATGCAGTAACATCATAAAGATAATGGCTATAAATCTTTCAGAAAATATCTCTAAGTTAGACCAGTTGCCACAGCAAACAAATCAGGGCATCTTTCCTTCAGTGAAATGTAAGAATGATGTTAGTTTTAGCCCTCTTATTGACTGGAGTTTTTCTTTTGATTGTGTTTCTTATCCCTCTGCTTGACCTCTGGAATAGTAGTTACGATTTAGAGTATTGTATTTCCACTGTTTTGTAGTTTACCAATTACTTTTTCTTTTTTTTTAAAGTAGAAAACTTGAGCAAATTTTATTTTTTTGGTATTAAAGTTTTTGCTTTTATCTCTTTCCAAAGGGATTTTGCTGTAGGAATCTGTAATAAAATCAGTGAAATGATTCAAGGTATGTATGTTTCATTTAGAATTACAAAGTGACTTAATGAGATTTATATTTATAGTCCTTAGTATTTAGTAAATACTTACTGTGTGCTAGGTGCCATTCACTTAAATAATAGTATTTATTAAGCATTATGTGTATGCCAGGGGAAGAAAGACCTGGTGATCTACTTCTAGAAAATCAGTTATTGAAAACCCTCTGGAGCAGTTCTACTGTGACATACGTGGTATTATCATGACTTAGAATTGACTCTGCTGGCCCTTTTTTTTGGTTGTTATTTGCTTGCTTGCTTGCTTGTTTGTTTTTCTTTAATACCAGGACTGTTTTAGGTGCAGAGGATACAGTAGTGAAGAAAACAAAGTTCTTTCCTTGATGTAACCTTCATTCTAGTGGTAGGGGAACAATAAAATAAAAATATTGCTATGGAGAAAAGGCAGGGTAAGAAGGATGGAGAGATGTAAGAGTAGATGGCATGGAGGAAGACTTTTCTGTCTTACACATATGTTGGTCAGGGAAGGTCTCTGATGAAGTGATACTTGAATGAAACAAGAGAAGGGAAAGGAGTGAGCTGTACAGATATCCAGGGAAGAACATTCTGATAATGGGAGGGTGATATTGCTAGGAGCTCTGAGCCCCTCTTCTTTCTGTTAATACCCCTCCAGTGGCTTCGTATCAAATCCAGATTCTTTACCATATCTACAAAGCTATGCTTTTCAATCCTATCTTCCATCCCATGCTTCACATGTATTTACAGTTATAAGGGAACTGTGAGGCTAAAGCATTATGTAACTCTAGAGAACATCACTTTCATTCTGTATTTTTAAATTGTGCAGCTTGATAGTCTTGGAGAGCTAATATTATCATTACTGTTTTGTAGAAAAGGAAACAGAAACACAGTAAAGCTTAGTAATTTGGCTGAGGTCACACAGCTAATAAGTGGCAGTTAGGCTTTGATGTCCATGCTCTTAACCACTGTACTATACTGTGTTTCAGGCCATGAATTTCTTATGGTAATTATATTTTAATTGTTTTCCATTTAAAATTAAAGAAATTTCACTCACTTTGCATAACTGATAAAAATTAATTAAAAGCTAAGATGCAGTGTTTGAGCTTTTGTCCTCTTCTGCTTTATTTCCCACCCCCCCTTTTTTTCCTCCCTACTACTAAAAAAGAACTACTTTGCAGAAAAGGTTATCATCATGACATTAGAAGAAAGTGTCACTCATTCATTGAGCAGGTTTTATTGAATGTCTGCTGTATCAGACAAGATCTCAGCAGGAAACAGATGGTACACTTGAATTAGAGTAATTCAAGGAAGGTCTAAAAGGGGGCCATTTACACAACTGGCAGGGTAGACTACAGGAGATAGTGCAGTCTCGGTGCCTGGTAACAGCTCTTACCACCCCTGTAGGGTGAAACAGAAGCTCAGAGAGGTTAATAACTTGCCCAAGGTCACGTAGCTAATAAGTTCAAACCCAGATATCTGACTCAAGAAGCCATACTGTTAACTGCTATGAAGTAGTTGCTTCTCAGTTTTGAAAAGTATCTTGGATTTTATTTTATTTTATTTTTTTAAAAAAAGAGGTCATTAAAGATCTTGGTGAGAATATATTCAGTGGGGAAATGAAAACCAAGGTCAGATTTTAATTAGTTGAGGCTTCTTGAAAGAAGTTTGAGTAGAGAAAGAGAAAGAGTATGGTATGTTTAAATACTGCTGGCAAGGAATCAGAAGAGAAGAGTAATGTATGTAACAATCTCTGCGGACTCAGGGGAGACTGGACATCAAGACCCAGGTAGAGGAACAAACAGCAGGAGATGCTGTATAGGTCAGTGGGTGTGGTGGCAGAGAGGTGAGGAGCTCTGGTCAGATAATTCATACTTTGTTTGTAATACAGGAAGCCAGATTCATCTGTTGAGAGTGAGGGAATAACTGATGGAATCAGAGGTTCAGGAGAGTGGAGGTTTGGAATAGCCATTTTGACAATTGTTGTTTGACAATGGAAGAGAAATTAGCTAAGGAAACCTGTAAGGATGCTGAGCAACAGTGAGCAATGAGAATCCTGCTGTGATTGGAGATTGAATATTTGGGTATTATTTGGAAACTGATTTTATATTCTACCAGTACTGCCATCTCTCTAGCCTTATCCTCACACTACAACTTCGGAAGCACATGTTGTACTCAGAGCCTGTTTTACTTCTCCCTGTGTATATCTCATGGGCATCTCAAATTTAATATGGCCCAAATCGAACACCAGATCTGCTTCTTCCTCAGTCTTCTCCAGCTCAGTAAATGACACCACTGTCTACCCAGTTATTCAAGCTAAATATCTCAATATTATTCTTGAGTTTCTTTCCCTCTACATGTCACACCACTTCATCAGCAAATCTGGTTGACTCTACACTTAAAGTATATCCTCCTTCTGTCACCACTCTGCAACTCTCCTGTTAGCCCCATATAGTTCAAGTCATCATCATCTCTTACGTGGATTACAGTACTACCCTCTTAATTAATCTTTTTGTTACTCTTCTTGCTCCTTTCACAATCTATTCTTCACATAGCAGCTAATCTTTTATTTTTGTTTTTTCATGTCAGACAGGTATGTGCCAATGTCATAACAAGATTTGAGGGAGGCACATGTCACACAAAGGTGTGAATACCTACTCATCACACTTATGAACTGAAAAAGGATCTAATCTTTTAAAATGACAAATCAGATCATATCATTACCTTGTTTAAACCTATCCAGTGGCTTGCATTTACATTTAATATAAAATTGAACTTATAACCCAGACTTAACAAACCTTACATGTTTTCTGTCCCCTGCCTCTATCTCAGTCTCTCTACCCTTTTACCACTTCCTATTGAAACCAGCCACACAGGCCTTTTTCTCCATTTCAAAGCCTTTGAACCAGAATGGTCTTCCCCTGACCACCTTATGGTTAGCTCCTTCTGATCTTCAAATTTCATTTTAAATGTCACCTCCTTGACCCTTTTGCTATATTTTATCTAGTATAATCCCCCTTTGTTGTTGGTAGTTGCTGTTGAGCCAGTTCTGACTCTTGATGATCCCAGTGTGCAGCATAGAACTGCTCCATAGAGTTTTCAAGGCTGTGACCTCTCAGAAGGATATTGCCAAGCCTATCTTCTAAGGTACCTTCGGGTGGGTTCAAACTGCTAACCTTTTGTTTGGTGGTTGAGCACTTAACTGTTTGCGGCACTCAGAGATCTATAATTGCCCTTACTCAGTTAAAAATCAGTATTTATCTAATGTATTACATCACTGTATCTGTATAACACATATTACTGTCTTGTATTTTTCTGATTTGTCAGTTTATTGGCTCTTTGTCCACAAAAATATAAGCTCCATTAAGAAGAGTTGTCTTGTTCACCACGTCATCAAGTACCCAAGACAGTGGTAGGCACCTAGGTTGTCATTCAAGTATTTATGGAAAAGTTGGGTAGATGGGTGAATTGTACAACATGGCATGCTTTTACAGTTGCCTTCAGAGTTGTATTGCATAATCCACTTGATTTAGAAAAACTGTTATCAGAGTAATATCTATTTTATTGACCAACTTTTGCTTCTTAATACTTTTCCCTTTTGCTAGCAGTAAACTTATCCTTAAATATTTTTGCAGCTTTTGAGAATATTTCTTACAACCAATCACTGAGTACTGTCTACCTTTTCAACACCTCTTAGTATCCTTTCTCCATCCCTGCTGTCATTCAAATTGTCATCTCTACCTCAGCAGCCTACCAGCTGGTCTTTCTGCCCCCAGGTTCCTGCCTGGTAATCTGTGCTTCATGCATTGCTTGTCATTTACGTCTCTGATTAAAACATTTTATTGGCTTTTTATAACCCTTACTTTATGGTCCACATTTCTCAACAAGACCTCTTTGATGTGGCTCTGCCCATCCCTCTAACTTCATTCCTTACCACTCAGTGTTTCTAATTCTGCTCCAGTCATAACCAAACTTCTTTCAGTTCCTTAATCTCTCAACTCCAACATTTTCATATGCTTTTTTCTTTATTTAAAACACTGTTACTGTTTATTTAAATACAACCACTATTGCCATACTGCCTACCTGATTTCCTGTTAAAGTTTCAAGTTAAGTACTTTCTCATGGAAGCTTTCAATAACAACACCAACAACAATTAAGAAAAACTTTAGTGCAGGAAAACATTGCAAGCATAAATAGAAGGTACAGAATTCTGATTCTAACAGAACATAAATCTGGTAGTGAGATGAATCTTTACATGTGATGATTTCACATAAGCAGCAAGTAAAGAAAAGGATGTTGATGCCTTATTGAAAATTGTATTTTGATTAGACCAAGCTATCTATCTGAAATGAAGAATAATCACCTTACTGAAAAACCAATCTTTTTTTAGAACAAACCATAATTTTTCCAGTAAAAAAAAGTTGAAAACTGTGGCCTAAAGGCAGAAAAGAGACCCCCCCCAACAAAAAATTACAACAGTGTCACTTAATTTTCACTCCCTTTAGCAAAAGTATGTAGAAGTTAAGTATTGTCAAGAAATAGTTTTTACAGTCATAAATGACACTAATCTTGGATGTCCAAATGATGTTAATGTCCACACTAATAGTTTTTTCACAATGGGAAGCCCAATGATTTGGAGAAAGTAAATTCACTCTGAGCATATGTATCATACATTATGATTAAGAAACTTTTGTTCTCTGTCACTGCAAAGCTATGCTATCGAAGTGTTGACTGGGAAATGTAAATTGAAGTTATTTCTTATGGAGTTCCAACTGTGTGTTCAATAAAGAAAGTCATTGCTACACAAATAAAGGTCATAGAACTTAAAAACAGTTCTACACATGGTCTTATTCATGCCCTGATCTTGATTCAGTACTGAAGGAAATAATTAAAATTTTAAATATAGGCAAAGTGTAGCCATTGACTGTGTGTCTGTGTACCTTATGAGTGCGTATGTAAACACAACTCGTGTATCTTTTTAGTATGCTGTAAGAGGAAACAGGCAGCAAACATAAGACTTTGTATCAGCATATATTTTTATAATCACTGAAAAATTAATGTTATTAAATACTTTTGAGAAAAACTATAGCATGTATTGGTTACCTTTACTTTTGTAAACAATACTAGTATGCTATTTGTTTTTAAGTGAACGTTTTGCTAATTGAATCAGACCTTTAAATCTGAAATATGATTAAGGATGAAGGGGAGAAATCTCTAAGCATTGTTTTTTTGCATCCAGGATTAGCCACACCAGTAGACTTGAAGCTGAAGTTGATTCCCATCCTACAGCACATGCACCATGATGCAATCCTGGCTTCCAGTGCTCGCCAGCTTTTACAGCAGCTGGTCACGTCCTATCCTTCTACCAAAATGGTGATTGTTTCTCTGCACACTTTTACTCTGCTTGCAGCTTCATCTTTGGTTGATACGCCTAAACAGGTAATTTCAGTTTTATTCTTTAAACTTCTTTTTTTTTAAAATGAACTTGCATATTAAGTATATGATAAAAATAAGTAATATAAGTTTTGGTAACATTAAGACCCCTTTGTCTAATAAAGATCAGTTTACTGTCCTTTTGCTTCTCTGAATTCATAGTACTCATTCTTGGGAGCCCCTGAAGAAAGTAAGTTGGAGGGTATGTGATAGAGCCTTCAGTAAAGGAAAGAAGGAAGAATTAGTGCCAAGACCTGTAATAGATCATTACAGGTTAAATGATAGTATCTTATTTTATTCAGTAGCAGGAAGAAGCCCTAACATGCTCTCATGGGCACATAGCTAAGAAGTGTCAGGCTTTGATTTAAACCCAGCCTTGAGTCAACTCTAAGTTTGACTGCAGTACACCCCATCTATAATGATGATGTTGGTGACAGTATTATTCATGGTGTGATTTATTTCCTTTATAGATTCAGCTTCTATTGCAGTACTTGAAGAATGACCCCAGGAAAGCAGTAAAGAGACTTGCTATTCAAGATCTGAAATTACTTGCCAATAAAACACCACATACTTGGAGTAGGGAAAACATTCAGGTATGTTGAACTTTGAGTGTTAATACTTTATATACAAAAATAATTAATATTTTAATAGAGTAAATTGGTTTGCTTTACATTTTTATGCCATCTTTATCATCTTCTGAATGGTTAAATATGAAAAACTTCTAAGAGCATTGTTTTTATGTGTAGTGCAAGTTATAAGTGGCAAATTTAATAAATAAAAGTCCTATCTTTCAGTGTTTGTGTTAGTAAATTAGACTTTAGCTTCTTAGGAGTTCTAGTGGGACTGTGATTGAAGTAATGGGCTGCTAACCAGAATGTTGGCTGTTCAGGGGCATCAGCCGATCCTTGGGTGAGATGAAGCAGCCTGCTCTCATTAAGATTACAGCCTTAGAAACCTTATGGGATAGTTCTGCTCTGTCCTACAGGGTTGCTGTGAGTTGGAATTGGCTTGATGGCAGCGGGTTTTGTTTCAGTTTCTTGTTAATTTTCCCATAACTACATTGAGGTTAATTGAGAAGCCCAATTAAATTGTATCATTTTATTCCTATGTCCTTTAGTCAATTTGGGGAGAATAATTTAGATGCTGACTAGGATTAATTATGGAAAAGGTACTAGATGGGAACTTGGCAAAGTATATTTCTCCTTTTCATTGAGAACAAAAAACTATCCTTTTAAAAAAAAAAAATGCTTACTGTGGTTTGGGGGAAAGTTTATAAAGCAAATTCATTTTCCATACAGCAGTTCATATAAATTTTGTTTCATGGCATTGACTGCAATTCCCCACAGTGTAACAGTGCTCTTCCCACTTCCTCCCTGTAGTTACCTCTTCCCTGTGTCCTTCTTTCCTGTGCATTCTTGCCCTCTGTGCTATCTCCCTGTGCAAATACTGCCCTTCTCCCGTGATTGCTTATTCTAAGGGGTATATCTACCTGATGTAAATGTTCACCCTATTTGCCTGTCTGTTGTTTGGCTGGAAGCCATAGGAGTGAATTCAATTCCAGACCTGAAAGGTAATGTTTCGGTTACCTACTGCCACTCTGACAGGAATATACCACAAATGGGATGGTTTTAACAAACAGGAGTTTATTCTCTTACAGTTTGGAGGCCAAAAGTCTGAGTTCGGAGTGCCAGGCTCTAGGGGCTGGGTGAAAGCCCCTCAACCTTGGGCTTCAACTTTGCTTCCTGCTCTCGGCCCACTGAAGCTGGAGGCTTTTCTTCACTCAGAAAGCTGCTGGCAGCTGAGGTGGACAACCCCAAGGTTGACAAATAAAAAGGCACAGTTCCAACGTTACCAAACCATGTGGCAGGCTATTGATTCAAGTCCATTGAAAGTTCCAAGACCAGCAGAGCATGGCAGGCTGCTAAACAACAACTTGGTTACATGTAGGGTTCAAGTATGCCATAGACTAGAGACCATTCCCAAAGCTGCTGCTTATATATGGGAAGCAGACCACATCCCTAAAGCAGCTACTCAGTTGCTTGTGGTACATCGCACCATGGAGTTGATTGCCAGTCTCATCACGGGGAATAACTACCACCAGCTCCCCAGCTGCTTAACCAGGCCCAGCTAAGGTGACACACAAACTTAACTGCCACAGGTAACTAGGGGCCATAAGACCACTAAACCTGGCCTTTATGATTTTGAGTTTTTTTCCACATTGTTCTCCCACTCTATCCAGGATCTCCTGCACTGATCCCTTTCCAAGTGGTTGAGAGTGGTAGCCAGGTATCATGTAGTTCTTCTGGTCTCATTGTCATATAGGCTGATGATCGCATGGTCCACTGGTCCATGGGACTAATTATTTCCATGCGACTTTGGTTTTTTTTCATTCTTCTTTGCTCTGGATGAGAAGAGACCCTTTGTTGCATCTAGATGGCCACTTGCAAGTTTTCAATACTGTAGTTACTCAGGAGCTCTGGTAGCATAGTGCCTAAGGCACTTGACTGCTAACCAGAAGGCTGGCGGTTCAAACCCACTAGCCACTCCTCGGAAGGAAGGTTGGGCAATCTACTTCTGTAGTGGTACTGCCTCAGAAACCCAAGGAGTGGTCGTTATGAGTCAGTTCCAACTCCACAGCACATAATAACAACAACAGTAGCTACTCACTGAAATAGGATGTAGGACAGTGTTTTTGTGTATGATGTTATGTCAGTTGAGCTTGATATCCCCTGCGACCATGGTTTTGAGCCCATGGGTCCAACAACTCACTCTATCACAGTGGTTGACTGTGCCTACGAAGTTATCATAACCTTGCCACCATTAGTTCTTTTATGAGGAGCTCTGTGGCGATGTGCCTGAGGCATTTGACTGCTAACTAGAAGGCTGGCAGTTCCAGCCTCTTCTTGGAAGGAAGATTGGGCACTCTACTTCCGTAGTGATACCACCTCAGAAACCCAAAGTGGAGTGTCTATGAGTCGGATCCAACTTGATGGCAGTGAGTTTTTTGAATGAGAGTTCTGTTATATGGACATTCTTATAGCACATACAAATATGTATGTAGAAATATCATCTGCCAGCCTTATATATGGTCATGGGTATATTCCCTTTTGCCTAGATATACCTGATCATTCAGCCTTTTTACCGATTTATTTACTCATAGATTAATGTTTATCACTGATAATGTAGTATTATATATGTAAAAGGGTTTGTTTTTGTTGTCTGTACCTCTAATGCACCTCTCTGTGTCTTCCTTTTCCTTAGAGTTATTGTGTTGGTCACTTACTTTTGATATATTTCCTTTCCATTTGGTACTTGTCTCTACCTATCTAGCAGTATTCTCTCCTCTCCCCTCCCATCCCTGGCAATCAACAGTGTTTCCTTCCATATATAATTCTTTCCTTTACTTTTTACAAATAGTGAACTAATAAAATATTTGTCCTTCTGTGATTGACTTACTTTACTCAGTATAATGCCCTTCAAATTCTTCCATGTTATGTGGTGTTTCACAGAGTCTGTATTATTCTTTAGTGTTGCATAGTATTCCATAGTTTGGTTATCCATTCTAATGTTGATGGGCACTTAAGTTCTTTTCATCTCTTTGCTGTTGTGAACAGTGCTGCAGTGAACATGGGTATGCATTTATCTGTTCGTGTCCTGCCTCTCACTTTATATATACCTAGTATTGGAATTGCTGGATCAAGTGGTATTTCTGTTTCCAACTTTTCAAGGAATCACTGTACTGATTTCCACAGTGGTAGGAACTCTGGTAGGGTAGTGCCTAAGGCACTTGACTGCTAACCAGAAGTCTGATGGTTCAAACCCACCAGCCACTTCTCAGAAGGAAGATGGGGGAATCTACTTCCGTAGTGGTATTGCCTCAGAAACCCAAGGAGGGGTCTCTGTGAGTTGGGTCTGACTCGACGGCACATAACAACAACAACCATTTTACAGTCCCACAGCAGTGTTGGAGAGTCCCAATCTCTCAGCATCCTCACCAGGATTTGTTATTTTCTATCTTGTTGAACTTTGATATTAGTTGAGGTGAGATGGTATTTTATTGTTTTGATTTGCATCTCTCTCTCTAATGACTAATGATCATGACATTTCTTCATGTGTTTGTTGGCTGCCTGAATATCTTCTTGGATGAAGCATCTGTTTATGTCTTCTGCCAATTTTTAAATTGGATTGTCTGTCTTTTTGATGTTGAGGTTTTAGAGTTTTCTATAAATGTTAGTGCTAAGTCCTGCGTGAGATATGTCATTTCCAAATATTTTTTCCCATTCTGTAGGTTCTCTTTTTACTCTTTTGGAGGAGTCTTTTGAAGCATGTAAGAATTTAATTTTTAGACGGTCCCCATCAGCTAGTTTATCTTCTGCTATTTGTACATTTTGAGTTATTCTTGATAGTCTATTTATGCCATAAACTAGGGCCTCTAACTTTGCTTCTATTTTTTCTTTGATGAACTTTATAGTTTTAGGTTTCATGCTTAGGTTTCTGATTCATCTGGAGTTAATTTTTATGTACAGTGTGAAGTATGGATTTTGTTTCATTTTTTTTCAAATGGGTATCCTGTTTTGCCAGCACCATTTGTTAAAAGAGACTATCTCTTCCCTGTGTAATGGATTTCATTCCTTTGTCAAAGATCAGCTAACCATAGCTGGATGGATCTGTTTCTGGGTTCTCAGTTCTGTTCCACTGGTCTGTGTGTCTCTCATGATGCCAACACCAGGCTGTTTTGACTACAGTTGCTGTAGGTTTTGAGATCTGGGAGTGTGGGATTTCCTACTTTGTTCCTCTTCTTCAGTAGTGCTTTGCTTATCGGAGGTCTCTTTCCTGTTCATATTAAATTAGTGATTGTTTTTTTCATATCATTAAAAAGTGGATGGAATCTGGATTTGGATTGTATTGAACGTATAGATTGCTTTGGGTAGTACTGACATTTTCACAATGTTCAGTCTTTCTATCCATGAGCATAGTATGTTCTTCCATTTATATAACTCTCTTACAGTTTCTTGAAGTTATGGTTTGTAGCTTTCTTTGTACAGGTTTTTTGTGTCTCTGGTAGGATTTATTCCCAGGTATTTTATTTTTTGGTGGTTCTGGTAAATGGTGGAAGATCTGGTAGCATAGTGCCTAAGGTCCTTGACTACTAACCAGAAGGCTGGTGGTTCAAACCCACCAACCACTCCTCAGAAGGCAGATGGGGCAATCTACTTCCGTAGTGATGTTGTTGTTATGTGCCATCGAGTCAGACCTAACTCATAGCGACCCTTCTTTGGGTTTCTGAGGCAGTATCAGAAACCCAAGGAGGGGTTGCTATGAGTCGGGTCTGACTTGACGGCGCATAACAACAACAACAACGACAATAACATTATAAATGGTATTGGTTCCCTTATGTCCTGAGAACAAAAGATAATCTTAACATTTCTTTTTTTAAGTACAGGCATGGACTTCTGATTGTGTAGACTTGTAATATGATATCTTATATTACTATTTCATAGGTTAAATTAATGTTTTTTTTTTCCCCCTCAAAATGAAATTCCATTTGTTTACCCCTTACTGATAATAGATGGCAAATTTTCTAAATAATGTT